ACTGGATCTAGAAAGCATGATAATTAGCTTCTTAATTTCATGCATTCTAAGAATCAATTAATCAATATCCAAAACTCAAGTATTTTCTGTCTGTTGCGGAAATGATCATAAGAGAGAGTGTGTTCATGGCTCAAATTAATTTTAATTTGTTAAAAAAAAAACCAGAATATTCAAGCATTAAAAATATCATAATATTTAATTTTAATCATTATTTAAGTAGGATTTATTTTATATTTTAATTATTAATATTTTTAATATTAAGATATCTTAATTTTCTATATTTTTATTTGTTAAAGAATAAATATCATTTATTTTATTGTTTATAAAAATCTACTATTTTATAGTTTAAATTGTTCTAAATATTAAAATAAAGATTTATCTAAGATTTGAAGATGAATTTATTCAAAGATTGATGTTTTATGATCTAAACTGTAAATCATTTTTTTTCATATTTATTAATTAAGATGTGTTATACGCTGTGTGTTTACGAAGAAAGAAAGAAAACAAACCCTCTTCGCGGCGCCGTCTAATTGGAAGAATTCCAGTGAGTCGCGATCATCGTCGAGTTCGTGAACCTCGTCGCCATGGCCTTCACACTCCATGACGGTGGCGGCAGTGGCGGCGGCAAACGGTATCAAAAAGTGCAGACCCACTTATTGCTTATGACAGGCGGGTTCTTGTTCCTAATCTTGTTGCCGGGACTAAACGCTACATTGCGCGGAAACAATTTCGTGATTCCCATCTATTTGACCCCGATGCTCTTCCTCATCGTGGGACTCATCATCTTCACAGACTTTACCACATTCATTATTCTGGTTAGAAAAGATGCCGCTAGAAAAGAGTTTTCCAAAAAAGGGTGTTGGCAGCACAGGACCGTTGATTACACCAGTTAATTGAAGAACCATTTTGGCAATGGGAAGAAGAAGAATCTGTTTTGGAGTTTGCTTGATGGACACTCGTGTCTGTTACCACGATACATGTATTTGTTTTAAACAAAAGGTTATATTTTTCCGTTATGTGAAATTTGGTTTGATTCTTTGAAGAAATAAGTGACATTTAAAGTGCTTGAATGTTGAGAGTATAGGAACCAAAGTACTTAAAGTTTGAGGGTGTAGGGACTGATAGTGCCATTATCTCTTTTGTTAATTGTGATAAGCTGTGATTTTGCTCAAATGTTCATCTGAACTAGGCTTTTTTTTTTTTTTCTTTGGTATATCAGATGGTCGACTATATAATAGAAGATAGCCCTCACCTTCCCAAATCTCTCCTCAAAATTTAAACTTGAGATCTCCTACATGGAGGCTCAAGTTTTTAACTATTGGGACACCCCTGGAAGACTTTTGAACTAGGCATTTAGAGTTAGAATTGGAAAACTTCACACTGAGATATCATCTTAGGAGCTAACTATCAATCTGTCAGAGTCTACTAATTTTTGATGATTTATAATTTAGAAGCTCAAAAGGTTCCTTTTAATTGTTTGTTTGATGGCATTTCGGATTGCAAATCAAGAATAGCAACCATTCCATATACTTTATTCCGGTTGCCAAATAAAGTTTCCTTTAATCTTTTATGCTAAGGAAGAAAGGTATGGAATCAAGGGTTTTAATTTTAAAAGATGGTGATGCCTGTGTTTGGTTTTGTGCAAATGTTTTAGGCTTGATATTTATATTGAAAAATAAATTATAAAAATCAGTATTTTAGCAAGGAAAGTTGTTATTAGAAGCTGATTTTTTTGTTGATTTTTTTTATTTATGGTAAATAAGGCATGTGGAACCTAGATGATGATATGGCTGCCAAGTAGGATTATCCCACCACTTGGCAGCCATATCATCATCTAGGTCCTACATACCTTATTTACCATATATCATTTTTAGTGTCATGTGAACAATAAGGCATGGCATTGTTAAGGTGGAAAAGCTGTAGAAATAAGATAGTAAAGCATACTGTTGCTGATCATTAGGCTATTAATTTAATTCTTAAGAACAAGGGAAAAAAGTTTAAATCAAGAAATAGATTCTTGTAGCTTTAATTGTTGTTTGATTTTCTAAGTAAGAAGCATGGAAAGGTATGTGTGTTCTATTATTGATGTCTTTTACTCCTTTTAAAAGATTTAAATGTAATTTTTCTATATTAACTCAATTAAAAGAAGAGAAAGTAAAACAAAGTGGGATTATGTCTAAAAAAAATAGAAAAAAAAAAAGAAGGAACAACAAGAGAATAAGAGATAAAGTAGGATGGTTTGCCTGAGAACGAAAAAGGGAAATTTGTTAAGATTTTGGAGGTAAGAAGGGGTTTTGAGAGAGGACTTGGAGGAGAAAGAGAGACACACGTGGAGTAACCTCATTTGGTGAGGTCAAACCCGTTTTCTTCATTCATCTTCTGCCATTATATAGCAGAAATCTTTTAATACATTAACAGTAATTTTCTCACTTAATATTTATCTAATACAAGAAAATCTAACATTTAAAGCAAGATTATATTATGAAGATTTGTTGTCATTTTGTGCGGCTCCATGTGGCTGTACTTATTGCTACTTTGCAGCTTTTCATTTGCATTTCATTACAGCCTCATTTCATCAACATTTGTAGCTCAGCTTGCTGCACTTTGCTGCTACCGTGCTTTGGTGCAGCTCTCACTTCTTCATTTGCTGCCATTTTGTGCAGCCTTTCATTTTCATTTGCTGCTACTTTTGCAGCTTGAACATCACAACTCCAACAAAATTTATTAGTTTCAAGAATTGTAACTGATAGGATAAGAGATTAGACATTGAAATTTGGATTGAGTGGATTAAAGAAAAAGAGAATTTTACCTCTCATTTTGTATTATGTTATGTATATTGATTATTGAGAACTGATTTGGGGGCTGAAAGTTGGACACTTAATTTTTTTTGGCCATTGATCATGTGTGGGCTCCACATGATAAATTGCCAAGGTAATTTATGCCTACAATTCGGCTTCCAACTTTCGGCCCTCAAATAATTTTTCATGTATATTTGTTAGATTGAAATGTCATGTGAAAATAGAAAAAAAAGGGAGGTTGTGAAAAAGAGAGATTATGTATATAGTAATATACTGCTTATACTTGGGAGAATTTTCTTGGCGATGAATTCAAATGAATGAGATAAGAATGGTGATGGAAAACCAAATAATTGAAATTTCATAAATGGTAACTAAAATCTAGCAAGTTTTCTCTTTTTATGGCAAGACACTTTATTTGGCAAGAAAATCTCTAATTACCTAACTTTGGTAATGACAAGAAATTCATTGCTTGGATTTGTTTTATTGACTTGCCATAAAAGTTTAACCTAGAATGGAAAGTAATATCCAATTCCTAGCAAATTCAATGCTATGCCTTATTCTGCTCTCGTTTTTAGAAACTCTACTTAATATAGTAGAAATTCCTTGTTGGCTACAAAGAATATTGCATAAAAGGTAACCTAGTCAACTCTTAAACATATTGGCAATATACAATGTACCGATACATTATGATAGGTAGTACATCCCCTAGGAATCATGTTGAAGATCTCAAGTTCGAATCGTGAAGTGGGCGGGGAGGATTTGAGAAAGGGAGCATTATCCCTATTGTATAACCTATCATGGTTATTAAATCAATTTTCTCTAGTTGAGGAACTATTCAACAAACTCTTCTTGAGAATGAACTATTTGAGAAACAACTTAAGGGACTCTTCTAAAGAAATTTACTTAACGAACTTTTCTTAACAAAAAACTACTGACAAACTCTCTCTAAAGATTAACTACTTTGTTAAACTTTTTATAATGAAAAACTACTTAACGATGAACAAATTCCTCTAAATGAAAATTTACTAATCAATCTTTCTTAATGAAAAACTACAATCCTAAATGGATATCAAAAAACTAACCTTCTCTTTCCACAATCCTATTCCAAATCCTAAGTTTCAATGATCCCCCTCCCATTTTAAACATTTTTCTTGTAAATAAACAATATGATTTCTAACTAAAACAGGGTGTTCCTTAAATCAACTCAAACTTCACTGAAATTTAATCAAATTGAAATGAACTTTGAAGCC